TCCTGATAAGTGAATGATTTGTTATGTATGCAGTGCAGTGTATTATGAATTTGTGTTCAAATATTTCGGCAACATTTGTAGAGTNACATACTTTTATTATTTAAATTGTCAAAGTGAGTACACGAGCTTTCCTTATGTAGAGTGTGTGGTGGGAAGGGATTAGACAAACACTTCCCTTCCTTAACCCTCTAATTGGCTAACACAAAAATAATTTCCATAAAAGTCTCTATTTAAAAAAAATAGAAACAATTACAAAAGTCTAATATAGGCCCAATACAAAAAAATAAATTACATTCTATCCTCAAGCCTCCTACTTGTTTTTTAATTCATGCACTCATCACAAGTTGGGAGCGGTTGCATTTCATATCTAAGTAGAAGTGCCACTATGGTTTAATAGATGGAACAAAAAGAACCAAAACTAGATTGGAGCTACTTTAAGGAATGTTCTTATGTACAATTTGTACCACTTATAAGTAATAATTCCCTGGTCACACTGGCCAATATAAAGTAGACACGTTTTGTGAAAGATTATCAACATCATTTTGGGCACCTGCACTCCAATTGTGAGTAATAATCCCCTGGGAGTACTTGCCAAAACTGTGTCTTTTTCCATAGTCACCACTTTGCTCTCCAAGAAAGTGTCCACTTCTGGTTTGCACTATTTAAGGCGATAACCTCTACACTCAAAAATGGATTTCTTTGAATGTTTTATTTTTGTCCTAGTTAAGATTGTTGGAAGTCCTACATCGACTAGAGATAAGGTCAATTTATAATATCTAAGTGGGTGCAAACCTCACCTTACAAGTCAGTTTTGAGAGGTTGAGTTAGGTTTAAAAGTCCACTTCTTAACATGGTATCAAAGTCAGGTTAGAGCTTATCCTAACAAGATTTGTTGTTTGTAGACATATTATTCCACCTGCTTTCGGGTCGCTATCAGACCACCCATTAATGTCTAGGTGTGTTGGAAGTCCCACATCGAATAGAGATAAGGCCAATTTATAATATATAAGTGGGTGTAAACCTCACCTTACAAGCCGATTTTGTGGAGTTGAGTTAAGTTTAAAATCAATTTCTAAACAAAGATCATGGTGATATAATTGGGATTCGAATTTTGAATTGGAAGGCTGATATACCAAATCATGAATCCTATCATTTTGTGGAATATAAGAATCATGATCAATAATAAGAACATAGCATATATAACTTTTAACGAGGACATATAAAGCACATATTCAGGCTGAATAACCAAATATATAACAATAGAAGCAATGTAACATAGAGAAGCACATCAAAAGTCAAAACATATATACTTACATTTATGTGTGTGTATGCACTCGTGTGTGTTAGCATCGACTAGTCAGATTTTAGGGAGAGGGGACCACTAACACATGAAGTTTTAGAAGAAAGCAAGAATCTGCTAACAAAGAGAAGATATAAGCAATTTATGGGCACCTGTTTTTGGGACGCAGGGGAAAGAAAAACAGAAATGTGGAAACTTGAAAAACCAGCAACATGAAAAAGAATTAGTGGAATCATAAAACCGTGAACATGAATTGGGCAACCCTAGATCTCATTGGAGGGAAATTTACTATTGTTTTAGCGAAGGATCGTTCAGGGTTTCAGAGTTGGTTTGTGCATGAACCAGTCTTGTTGGGATGTGATGCACCTATGGTATAATTGTGCGAATCATCTCTTGGTTGCGATTCAGGTCTGATTTAAGCACCAAAATGATCCACTTACTGATTCGTTTTCCACCAGCTCGAATTATGTTTATTGTTTCACAAATTGTATGATACTAATAACACTGGTCACGATAGTTACCAAATTAGTTAGTTTGAAGTTGTTAGGGGCAAAGGCATAGCTATAATAGGAGAAAAGGTAGAAGGAGAGGCATTTTTATTTAACATTTGGGAACATAGGGTTGAGTGTATTATTATAAATAAGGAAAACACTTTGTGATGGGAATCCTTTGAAAGGAGGAGTCTCTCTTTATTCCTTGGGTCCATGTTTGTAATTCAGTAAAACTTTACAGAAGTATTCTTAATTCTTCTTTTCTCTGTTATCTCATCTGAAAATTTAGAATTTGTTGCTAAAAACCTTGGATTACCATTAAATGTTGAATGCTCAATCACCTACAAACCCGAGCCTCATCATCTTATCATCACTCTCTCACAACCCTGTAAGCCACTCAACTAAGACACCTGATTTCTACCAGATTTAGATTACAATTGGAACCAAGGGACTCATAATGGGGGTTCTTGAACATTTTTGCAAATGATTCTGGGCATTACAAAATGCTCATAATTTTTCATCTTGGAAATTTGTGTAGTTTATTGAGAGGGACAGGTTCAGAGTTGTGTGATTTGTTTTGTTTTAGTAATTTTTGTGTGTTTAGAGGAAGAAATTGGAATGGGGGGGATATTAGACTTTATGATTCTTCTAAATTGGCGGTTTTTTGGGGTTTAGGGATGACTTTTGAGGGTTGGTCGAATGATTACTCTTAACTTGCCCCCATTGATTGTAATTTGCATGTTTTCCCATCGTTTCGCTTCAATCATTAAATATAAGTTGATATATGGACATATGTCTTATAAAGTGAATTCTAAGTCTAACTTAATCTTAAAACTTAGTTTTTAAGATGCAGTTTATACTTATTTATATATTATGAAGAAGGCTTATGGAGAAGGCTTCATTTATGAAGATAAGAGAAATACTCAACTAGTTGGGTATTCTTATGATTACTGGACAGGGTCACCAAGCCATAGACGTTCCACTTTAGGATATTGTGTCGTGGTTAGTGGTAATTTATTATCATAGAGAAGTAAGAAACAAAATATTGTAACAAGGTCAAGTGCAGAAGCAAAATACATGGTAATTACAATAGTCATTTGTGAGCTGATATGGCTAAAACAACTCTTCAAAGAGCTTAAATTTGGAGAAAGTTTTCAAATGCACCGTGTATATTTTACCATGCAACATTACACATTGCCTTTAATCCTGTCTTTCTTGAGAGAACCAAATATATTGAGTTAGACAATCATTTTCTAGGAAAAAAATGCTGGAGTTTGAAGACATCACTGTTAGATTTCTCAACTTTAATGAACTGTTGACTAACATATTCACCAATTTTCTAGGAGGACTGGTGATCAATTGTATTTGCAGTAAGCTGGGCACATACGACCTATGTGCTCTAACGTAAGAGGAAGTGTTATAATTATAGAAATTTGGAGCTGATCCTATATAATAAGGAATATTGTCATAATTATAGAAATAAGTAGTTGATCCTATATATATTGTTATAGTTTATGCAAATAAGGTGTTGATCCTACATATTTAGGAATATCTATGTATTATTAGTAACATTTTTATTTATTTCCATATCATTTTTTTAATATAAATCTCTTCTATTTATTGTATTAATTCCTTTTTCTCAACTAAATAAAACACCCGTGTTGTCTTAAAAAGACTCTGTTTTAGCTTAGTGTTTCTCTCTTCCCTAGAGTTTAACAATCTCTATTGTAATTTCTACTGTCTTTTGTATAGTAGGATGTCTTACCCACAGTTGTTTTCCCTCATTTATCTCATGTAAAGAAAATAAACATTTTTTAGCAAAAATTGTTAAAATTGGATGCTTTCATGGCTTTGGTTTCCCAGCTTTCAGTGGCCAGTGCTTATAGCAATGATAGGTAAAATTTGTGAATAATGCTAAAGATCAAATGCATTTGGAAGTTAAAATTTGTGAAATATACAGTTTATATCTTTATGAACTGCTTCTCTTTCTATCTAGTACACTATTATTTTATCTATATTATAAGATGTTTTAGCTGAACACATTATTGAATAAGCTTTTATCCTGATAAGTGAATGATTTGTTATGTATGCAGTGCAGTGTATTATGAATTTGTGTTCAAATATTTCGGCAACATTTGTAGAGTAAATTGGACAATTATATTCATTGTAACTACTAGAGAGAACTCTTGCTGTCTTTAATTGACATTTTTATGTTGACAGCCACTTGTGAGTAAGTTTTTAGATGGGGGAAGTGTGTTGATCAAAGAAAAGAGCCTTGTTATTTCCAATGAGGTGATGCAGGAAAGAAGTGTCTCAATTTAAGCTTCTGACTGGCTAACTCTTAGAGAATTTAGGGTGGTTGATAGGTTTAATGATGAATAAGAAAACACTTAAATGTGATGCTTTGATGGTTTAGTTTGAAAATGGAAATGGTTTAAGTATGGATGGATTACTAGTCTACACTCTGGATTGACTTCTGGTCTGTTTAGGTGAGAGCAGCAATGCAAATATAGCTATATGGTATAATGATAATTATGATAAATTACTGGAAGGGCATATTTTGGTTTTTCATTTCATAATTTCTTTCAATGCCAGTGATTTGGGGGCTAGGTTTCAAGACTAACAGAAGTCATTAGAATTTTGCTAAGAATGTTAGTTCACTATTGTGATTTTTTCTTTTTAATGTTTTTATTGTGATGAGGATGTGGATATTTATAACTGTTGGGTTTATCTTGTCTTATGCTTTATCATTAAGGTGAATCTCAAGATTCAAAGCTAAGAAATGGACGTAGTTTCTTGATAATCATTATTCGGAGATTGATTTCCTCACTCTTATCGTCCCAGCAAGTATTATGTGATATGTTTGCATAAACATGCTAAGAATGGCTAAGCTGGGGTGTTAAAAAATCACTTCATTTGACTCTACACTGGGGATATAGCTCATTGGGACTGATGTGCATTAGTGTCTCGTGTAGAAAGACCTGGCTTATAACCTGTATCTGTATTGTATTAAATTGAAGCAATTTGCTTGAGGAAGTAGAATGAGTAACATGTGCACTACGCAAGGGGGAAAAAGAAGGCAAAAGAACATGCAATATAAGAAATTAAGGAATACATACCGGCCTTTAATGACATGTGTTTGCTGAGTCTCTACTGCTAAGTTTCTAATTCAATGTGGCTTTGTTCTAATCATTTAAAGTATTTTGCAGCCGATTCTTGCAGTGTCGAGGTCCATTTGCTAAGAGAAGGCATCCATTGGTGGACTCAACTGTTGTTTCAGAGATTAGAAGATGCCTTGACGAAGGGGTTGAATTCCAAGGTGAGTTGCTGAACTTTAGGAAAGATGGATCTCCACTTATGAACAGATTGCGTCTGACACCTATATATGGAGATGATGAGATAACTCATGTCATTGGAATCCAGTTCTTCACAGAGGCAAACATTGATCTTGGTCCCCTTCCTGGTTCTATGTTTAAGGAATTTACTAAATCATCAGATCTTTTTCTTTTTGTGCTTTCTTCTTTGAATCCTCTTCTTGTTGGGGATCGTAATGTTACTCGTGGATTTTGTGGTATATTGCATTTAAGTGATGAGGTATTGTCTCTCAAGATACTTTCTCGCTTTACTCCAAGAGATATTGCATCTGTTTGTTCTGTTTGTAGGCTTTTTTATGAGCTAACAAAAATTGAATATCTTTGGAGAATGGTGTGTCAAAATGCTTGGGGCAGTGAGACTACACGTGTTTTAGAGACTGTGCCTGGTGCAAGGAGACTTGGATGGGGTCGGCTGGCAAGAGAACTGACCACTCTTGAAGCAGCAGCTTGGAGGAAACTGACTGTTGGAGGTGTTGTTGAACCTTCACGTTGTAATTTTAGTGCTTGTGCAGTTGGTAATAGGGTTGTCTTATTTGGTGGTGAAGGGGTTAACATGCAACCTATGAATGATACCTTTGTACTGGATCTGAATTCAAGTAATCCTGAGTGGCAACATGTCCAGGTGAGTTCTCCTCCCCCTGGTCGGTGGGGCCACACACTTTCTTGTGTTAATGGTTCTCGTTTGGTTGTATTTGGAGGATGTGGAAGGCAGGGCTTGCTCAATGATGTGTTTGTTCTGGACCTGGATGCAAAGCCTCCAACATGGCGTGAAATCTCTGGACTGGCACCTCCACTTCCGAGATCTTGGCATAGCTCCTGTACACTTGATGGTACTAAGTTGATAGTTTCTGGTGGCTGTGCTGATTCTGGTGTACTCTTGAGTGATACTTTCCTTCTTGATCTTTCAATGGAGAAGCCTGTCTGGAGAGAGATACCAGTAGCATGGACTCCACCTTCGCGACTGGGTCACACACTATCTGTTTATGGTGGTAGGAAAATACTGATGTTTGGGGGTCTGGCCAAGAGTGGGCCCTTGCGATTTCGCTCTAGTGATGTATTCACGATGGATTTAAGTGAGGAGGAGCCATGTTGGAGGTGTGTAACGGGGAGTGGAATGCCAGGTGCTGGAAATCCAGGAGGCATAGCTCCCCCTCCTAGACTTGATCATGTGGCTGTGACCCTTCCAGGTGGGAGAATTCTGATATTTGGTGGGTCTGTTGCAGGCCTTCATTCTGCTTCCCAGCTTTACATACTAGACCCGACTGACGAGAAGCCTACATGGAGAATCCTAAATGTACCTGGGCGCCCTCCAAGATTTGCTTGGGGACATAGTACATGTGTTGTTGGAGGGACAAGAGCTATTGTACTAGGTGGTCAAACTGGGGAAGAATGGATGCTAAGTGAGCTCCATGAACTTTCCTTGGCAAGTTCTGTCATCTAAATTCAGTCAATAAACGGGCATGCTGCTGTGAGGGGAATGCTAAAATCATGAAATCATTTTAAGGCGGAAAATGTTTGTGTTGGTCACTGAAAACTCTTGACAAGCACTGCTCTGGTCAGAACATTTGTGTATTTAGTTGTTTCTACGTTGCATTTTATATTAGGGTTGGTTCTGGCTCGAGAACTTTTCAATGAGTGACACAATACCATGTTTGGTTTTTTTGAGGTTGTGTGAGACTTTGCCCTTCAGTATGCACAATGAATTATTCTTCCTGAATAGATTAATAGTGTCTGATTACACGTAGGTAATATATTAGGTTGTAGCTCACTTGATTTTCCCATCTGTTGCTATGTTCAACTTATGTAATTTGAACCATGACAAAGGATAGAGAAAAAGAAGAAATGCATGTTTATAGTAATATAATTTGGTCTGTGTATGTAATGGAAGTCTCTACTGTTTTATGCTTTTGAACAGGTCTGCTGACATGGTCATAATTTGTTGTAATGGTCTGTGACACTGCAAACAGGTGTATAAGGTAGGGGACCCTGCAGTTTGTACTTATTTTTCTTTATGTTATAATATGGAGTATGGTAACATTTGTATGGTGTATTATTTTTCTGGTTGTATGTTTTACCAAATTATTGTGTTTTTCATGGTGCTGCTGTGAATATTGTGTGTGTGCCTTGATAAATAAATATATTTTTAGTTGAAGTGAACCAAACAAATCCTAATATCTTGTAGGTTAACGGTCTTAGAGGAGTTAAAAGTTAGTAAGGATTTATGTGGTTCATATTTTTCTCACAATGATGTTAAAAAAATGATTAAAAGAAGATCTGAAATATAAAATATTAAGCATTTCTTTACATTTTACGGATATTGTGCTAGAAATTAATTTTACCCAAGGAAATCATTATTTTCTATTAAGCTTGGAACTAATGTTCTCACTGTAATATTTTGGGCTACTTAACAGTATACTGGAACCTTAAGGGAATTACTTCCTGCACCTCCATCGTTTTCCTTTCTGCACCCTAACCCTTCTGGAAATTATTTTCCTGAATACAAACACAGTTTGGGGATTTTTTTTTTTTCCAGGACAGCAATCACCTCTCCTTGTTACGGTCCGGTAGCTTTTATTTATGGGGTGCATGAAGAAATAGGGTGCAGGAAGCAACATCCTTAAAGAAAAGGATCGACTGTGATGGAAGAACATGTTCTGAGGGTGATTAGTACGATATTATATCTGAACGTTATTACAATATACCTTATGAAGGGTAATGAAGNAAGGCATAGCTATAATAGGAGAAAAGGTAGAAGGAGAGGCATTTTTATTTAACATTTGGGAACATAGGGTTGAGTGTATTATTATAAATAAGGAAAACACTTTGTGATGGGAATCCTTTGAAAGGAGGAGTCTCTCTTTATTCCTTGGGTCCATGTTTGTAATTCAGTAAAACTTTACAGAAGTATTCTTAATTCTTCTTTTCTCTGTTATCTCATCTGAAAATTTAGAATTTGTTGCTAAAAACCTTGGATTACCATTAAATGTTGAATGCTCAATCACCTACAAACCCGAGCCTCATCATCTTATCATCACTCTCTCACAACCCTGTAAGCCACTCAACTAAGACACCTGATTTCTACCAGATTTAGATTACAATTGGAACCAAGGGACTCATAATGGGGGTTCTTGAACATTTTTGCAAATGATTCTGGGCATTACAAAATGCTCATAATTTTTCATCTTGGAAATTTGTGTAGTTTATTGAGAGGGACAGGTTCAGAGTTGTGTGATTTGTTTTGTTTTAGTAATTTTTGTGTGTTTAGAGGAAGAAATTGGAATGGGGGGGATATTAGACTTTATGATTCTTCTAAATTGGCGGTTTTTTGGGGTTTAGGGATGACTTTTGAGGGTTGGTCGAATGATTACTCTTAACTTGCCCCCATTGATTGTAATTTGCATGTTTTCCCATCGTTTCGCTTCAATCATTAAATATAAGTTGATATATGGACATATGTCTTATAAAGTGAATTCTAAGTCTAACTTAATCTTAAAACTTAGTTTTTAAGATGCAGTTTATACTTATTTATATATTATGAAGAAGGCTTATGGAGAAGGCTTCATTTATGAAGATAAGAGAAATACTCAACTAGTTGGGTATTCTTATGATTACTGGACAGGGTCACCAAGCCATAGACGTTCCACTTTAGGATATTGTGTCGTGGTTAGTGGTAATTTATTATCATAGAGAAGTAAGAAACAAAATATTGTAACAAGGTCAAGTGCAGAAGCAAAATACATGGTAATTACAATAGTCATTTGTGAGCTGATATGGCTAAAACAACTCTTCAAAGAGCTTAAATTTGGAGAAAGTTTTCAAATGCACCGTGTATATTTTACCATGCAACATTACACATTGCCTTTAATCCTGTCTTTCTTGAGAGAACCAAATATATTGAGTTAGACAATCATTTTCTAGGAAAAAAATGCTGGAGTTTGAAGACATCACTGTTAGATTTCTCAACTTTAATGAACTGTTGACTAACATATTCACCAATTTTCTAGGAGGACTGGTGATCAATTGTATTTGCAGTAAGCTGGGCACATACGACCTATGTGCTCTAACGTAAGAGGAAGTGTTATAATTATAGAAATTTGGAGCTGATCCTATATAATAAGGAATATTGTCATAATTATAGAAATAAGTAGTTGATCCTATATATATTGTTATAGTTTATGCAAATAAGGTGTTGATCCTACATATTTAGGAATATCTATGTATTATTAGTAACATTTTTATTTATTTCCATATCATTTTTTTAATATAAATCTCTTCTATTTATTGTATTAATTCCTTTTTCTCAACTAAATAAAACACCCGTGTTGTCTTAAAAAGACTCTGTTTTAGCTTAGTGTTTCTCTCTTCCCTAGAGTTTAACAATCTCTATTGTAATTTCTACTGTCTTTTGTATAGTAGGATGTCTTACCCACAGTTGTTTTCCCTCATTTATCTCATGTAAAGAAAATAAACATTTTTTAGCAAAAATTGTTAAAATTGGATGCTTTCATGGCTTTGGTTTCCCAGCTTTCAGTGGCCAGTGCTTATAGCAATGATAGGTAAAATTTGTGAATAATGCTAAAGATCAAATGCATTTGGAAGTTAAAATTTGTGAAATATACAGTTTATATCTTTATGAACTGCTTCTCTTTCTATCTAGTACACTATTATTTTATCTATATTATAAGATGTTTTAGCTGAACACATTATTGAATAAGCTTTTATCCTGATAAGTGAATGATTTGTTATGTATGCAGTGCAGTGTATTATGAATTTGTGTTCAAATATTTCGGCAACATTTGTAGAGTAAATTGGACAATTATATTCATTGTAACTACTAGAGAGAACTCTTGCTGTCTTTAATTGACATTTTTATGTTGACAGCCACTTGTGAGTAAGTTTTTAGATGGGGGAAGTGTGTTGATCAAAGAAAAGAGCCTTGTTATTTCCAATGAGGTGATGCAGGAAAGAAGTGTCTCAATTTAAGCTTCTGACTGGCTAACTCTTAGAGAATTTAGGGTGGTTGATAGGTTTAATGATGAATAAGAAAACACTTAAATGTGATGCTTTGATGGTTTAGTTTGAAAATGGAAATGGTTTAAGTATGGATGGATTACTAGTCTACACTCTGGATTGACTTCTGGTCTGTTTAGGTGAGAGCAGCAATGCAAATATAGCTATATGGTATAATGATAATTATGATAAATTACTGGAAGGGCATATTTTGGTTTTTCATTTCATAATTTCTTTCAATGCCAGTGATTTGGGGGCTAGGTTTCAAGACTAACAGAAGTCATTAGAATTTTGCTAAGAATGTTAGTTCACTATTGTGATTTTTTCTTTTTAATGTTTTTATTGTGATGAGGATGTGGATATTTATAACTGTTGGGTTTATCTTGTCTTATGCTTTATCATTAAGGTGAATCTCAAGATTCAAAGCTAAGAAATGGACGTAGTTTCTTGATAATCATTATTCGGAGATTGATTTCCTCACTCTTATCGTCCCAGCAAGTATTATGTGATATGTTTGCATAAACATGCTAAGAATGGCTAAGCTGGGGTGTTAAAAAATCACTTCATTTGACTCTACACTGGGGATATAGCTCATTGGGACTGATGTGCATTAGTGTCTCGTGTAGAAAGACCTGGCTTATAACCTGTATCTGTATTGTATTAAATTGAAGCAATTTGCTTGAGGAAGTAGAATGAGTAACATGTGCACTACGCAAGGGGGAAAAAGAAGGCAAAAGAACATGCAATATAAGAAATTAAGGAATACATACCGGCCTTTAATGACATGTGTTTGCTGAGTCTCTACTGCTAAGTTTCTAATTCAATGTGGCTTTGTTCTAATCATTTAAAGTATTTTGCAGCCGATTCTTGCAGTGTCGAGGTCCATTTGCTAAGAGAAGGCATCCATTGGTGGACTCAACTGTTGTTTCAGAGATTAGAAGATGCCTTGACGAAGGGGTTGAATTCCAAGGTGAGTTGCTGAACTTTAGGAAAGATGGATCTCCACTTATGAACAGATTGCGTCTGACACCTATATATGGAGATGATGAGATAACTCATGTCATTGGAATCCAGTTCTTCACAGAGGCAAACATTGATCTTGGTCCCCTTCCGGGTTCTACGATTAAGGAATCTACAAAATCATCAGATCGGTTTCAATCTGTGCTTTCCTCGTTGAATCCTCTTCCAGTAGGGGACCGAAATGTTACTCGTGGACTTTGTGGGATATTGCAGTTAAGTGATGAGGTATTGTCTCTCAAGATACTTTCTCGCTTAACCCCAAGAGATATTGCATCAGTTGGTTCTGTTTGTAGGCGATTGTATGAGCTAACAAAAAATGAAGATCTTTGGAGAATGGTGTGTCAAAATGCATGGGGCAGTGAGACTACACGTGTTTTAGAGACTGTGCCTGGTGCAAGGAGACTTGGATGGGGTCGGCTGGCAAGAGAACTGACCACCCTTGAAGCAGCAGCATGGAGGAAACTGACTGTTGGAGGTGCTGTTGAACCTTCACGATGTAATTTTAGTGCTTGTGCAGTTGGTAATAGGGTTGTCTTATTTGGTGGTGAAGGGGTTAACATGCAACCTATGAATGATACCTTTGTACTGGATCTGAATTCAAGTAATCCTGAGTGGCAACATGTCCAGGTGAGTTCTCCTCCCCCTGGTCGGTGGGGCCACACACTTTCTTGTGTTAATGGTTCTCGTTTGGTTGTATTTGGAGGATGTGGAAGGCAGGGCTTGCTCAATGATGTGTTTGTTCTGGACCTGGATGCAAAGCCTCCAACATGGCGTGAAATCTCTGGACTGGCACCTCCACTTCCGAGATCTTGGCATAGCTCCTGTACACTTGATGGTACTAAGTTGATAGTTTCTGGTGGCTGCGCTGACTCTGGTGTACTCTTGAGTGATACTTTCCTTCTTGATCTTTCAATGGAGAAGCCTGTCTGGAGAGAGATACCAGTAGCATGGACTCCACCTTCGCGACTGGGTCACACACTATCTGTTTATGGTGGTAGGAAAATA